ATATCAGTCACTAGAATCAAAACATTCTCATTCCTACACAACCAACTACATCCTTATCCAAGCTTCCACATCACTCATCTGGTTTACAGCAATAACTCCCGAAGAATCTCTCTTCTTCTGCCACCTCTCTCCCCACTTCACCCTCATCTGTTCTCAACAGACAGAAGGATGCCTTTGAAAGGTAAGTCAGACCATGTCATTCCTCTGCTCCAATCTGCAAATAGCTCCTATTTCAATCAGAGTGAAAATCAAAGTCCTTATTGTGTCTTACAGGGTCCTGCATTATCACTTTTCCCTGTTCTCACTCCACCATCATATAACTTCTAACTTCATCCCCTAAAATCCAAAGATCTTTCCACTCAGTTCATTCCATGTCTTATTTTTCAAAGATGCCAGGCTGGCAAGCTCTTACTTCAAGGTCTTTGCGCTTCCTGTTCCAGCTGCCTGGAACATTCTTTCCCCAATTAGTGCCTCACTGACTCCTGCATATCCTTAAGTTCTTTACTCAAATAATGCCTCATTCAACCCTAAGCACCCTCTCAAAAATCTAGCTCTCCATAACTTTCTATTCTCTTTCTCTGTTCTATTGTTCTCCATATCTCATACATTATATATTTTACTGAATGGCTTTGTTTGTTTTCTGTCTCACTATAAATGTAAGCTCCTTGAATAAAGAGATTATTATTTTTGTTCACTGCTGCTATTGCCAGAACTACTTATGGGGTTGTAGAAAAGACACAATTTTATTTCCAAAACTTAGAACAGATATTCAATAGTTTTGAATGAATGAAACTTGAATAGATGTTTGAATTGAACCATTGTTCAATAAATAGTTTAAAATGAACAAATCTTGTTCAAATATCTCATTTTACTCTGAGTCACATCACCGACATACCTCTCTTGAGGCACAGAACTCTGAGATGCAAGTACAACTCTAAGCCAATTCCGCACACAATCATACACATGAAAATGAGAAAAGTTTGGTTATTTATAAAATGCCTTGGTGTTTGGAGTTGTGTACACATTAAATATTGCTCTGGTGACCAGTATAGCCCTTTGCAAGACAAAACCTTTCCCTTCACCCACCAGGAATGTTGTGAAACACAGTGCAGTATGCATATATTTATGATTTTTTCAGTAATTTTTATTATGAAGGAATCCAGGGTGAGGACATCCAAGAACCTTCTATGTCTGTTCCTTATAGAGTGACAGCTTCCCAGACCAAAGGACAAGCGTTACATACTAACAACCTCCCCACATCCCACAAGTTAAGAACTCAACTTGTGCATCATCATTTTTCTAACATTCAGATAACCCAGAGGAATAGACTTTCTTGAGACAGAGAAATCTTTTCCATATTTTTAAATGAATCTTATAGGTTGCTTAATGTATTTCTAAGATACTTTTATCCATCTTTCTAATTCCACTGTATAGCACCACCTTGCCTTACTCACTTCACATGATACTGTCTATTGTATTCATATAAGTGCTCTATCCCATCCTTATTTTTTCTGTTACTTCTGAAAATCCTAATGTAGAGCTAAGGTGTGCCTACACAGACGTTCTGTCACTGCCGACTTACGAACTCAGATTACAATGAGCTAATAACCATGAACTAATGTCTGGTCAGTAGCTGTAATGCCCATCAAAGACATCATGTTGTGCCTGATCTGAAGCCCTGAGCCTGCCACTCAGCACCCAGGTATCTGGTGAAGACCCAGATTTCCAGCCTCATTCCATTTCAGTTCCACTCGTCCTATATTGAACCATAGTAAATGCTTTCTACCCTTCAAATATACTTCAGATAGTATTGACTTAGGAGTTTACTTAAACTCTTCTCTTGTGGAAAACTCTTCTCATGTCTATCAATCCAAAGCCCAGTTCAAGTGCCATTTCATCCTTACAATTATCTCTGACGGTAACCTACCTAGTTGCCATAAATCTCATCTTCCTGAGACCTCAACATTTGCTTTCTTCTTTGTCTTGAAATATTTATCATATTCTGTCTTGTGTTGTAGTTATTTGTGTATACATTTTCAATACTAGATGGTAAGCCCCTTTGAGAAAGGGTCTCTACTCTTTACCCCTAAGTCCCTAAGCTTAGGGTTGTATACACCATAGTTGACCAAAAGGTGATTATTATATTAGTGAGTGAATAATAGAAAGCATATCATTAACCTAGTTTCCAGGATTTCAGCAATTTGGATTCTTTAGAAACAGGGCATTATATTGCTATCCATGTGCTATCACACATAATAATTTGTTTTCTTGTTTTTATGCCATTGATCCATTGAGTAAAGAGGATTACCCTGCAAGTATCAACTGTCCTTCCTATTCTTTTGTAGGCACCTAAATATTATGCTGCAGCAGTGTCATCTTGCTTAATACTTTAACATTCAAGTCACTGAGTTTTGATAACTAGCTAAAGAAAATATCCTGAGTAGGTATCAGAGTCAACGGTATGTTCTACTGAAGTCATCATATATCCTCTACCTCTTACATAGTGAGAGGTTAGGGACAAATAATTAACTTCATCTCTTCCCTGGTGCGCTGGTAGCCTGGTCTGTCATTATGTAGAACTAGGTTTCCCTTGAAAGAGAATGATTGAAAGGAATCCTAATACCTAAGAGATTGCAAGAAATCAGAAGTGGAAAATTCAAACACTTGGTAGCCTAAATCAGGTACAATGGGAGCTGTGGAGGATGGGGGAAAATATGTTCTATCTATAGGAAGAAGATGCTGCCCAGCCCCAGCACAGGTGTTATCCATGTGGGGATGTGGGTCCATCATTATCAGATCTCTTGATCTTCCTGAAAACAAGATATCTGGATTTTTCACAGGACATTTCCTAGATATCAAATACTTTGGAACTAGTTTTATCTTGTTTAACGTGGCAGCACAAACAAAGCACATCTGCATGCTGGATTCACCTGTGGCTGCTGCTCTGCAACTTCTGGAGTAAACGAATTCTCGGACTCGACGCTGCCATTGGATGAAACAATGTTAAGTAAAACATCAACTATCACTTCAAGTTTTAAAAGTATTGAACCGAGGGACACTTATTTAGAAAGATCCCAGAACATATCAAAATCCAGACAGGCTGAAGAAAATGAAGATGCCACCACTTCTTGCCCATCTCCCCATCTTATACCTAAGAAGCAGCTCCAACATTTGGCTGAAACGAACATTCCAGAAGAACCAAGTCAATAAAGACAGAAGCTTCTCTGACAAATTTCCCTACTCTAAAGGGCATGATACCATCTCCAGTAGATGCTAAGCAAAGGCCAAAGTGCCCTAAAACTCTTAATTGGAAGAAATCTTAAAGGACATCTGGTTACAGTCTCCAAAATGACATGGCTAATGTTTCTGCTTGGGATACCCAGCACCATTCGCTACACATTGTGGGCAATGAAAGAGTAAGAGACCCATATGTGACTTACAGCTCCAATGATACTGGCTGTGTGACTTGTGCATATCACTTCATCTTTCTGCGCCTCAGTTTCTCTGTTTTGAATAAGGTAACGATTAAATGATTTCTTCAGGATCCTTACAGCCAGAAAGACATTAAGAATATGTAAAAGTTCCAGCCTGACCAACATGGTGAAACCCCATCTCTACTAAAAATACAACAATTAGCCAGACGTGGTGGTGCGTGCCTGTAATCCCAGCTACTCAGGAGGCTAAGGCAGGAGAATCACTTGAACTCGGGAGGTGGAGGCTGCAGTGAGCCAACATCGTGCCACTACACTCCAGCCTGGGCGACAGAGCAAGGCTTTGTCTCAAAAAAAAAAAAAAAAGAAAAAAAAATGAATATATAGAAGTCTGCCAAAGATTATGTAGCATTACAACCCACTGCATTTGTGGTGGTCCCAAGGGATGAATATTGGCACTGTCATAATAAACTCAAACAGACACACACACACACACACACACACACACGCACACACACAGAGGAAACATTTACTTCCACAACTAAGAATGATATAACCTTTTGAGCATGAAAAGAAAAATGATAGCTAAAATTAGCATCTCAAAAAGTAAACTACATAATGACTGAAGATGAGATTTCCTTAAAACTGTAGAACAATGAGATATGATGATAGCTGTCACAAGAGAGGAAATTGCAGGAGTCAATTTGAAAGGATTTGGGGGTGTTTTCCCCATTGAGATTTGCTTTTCTACAAACCACAGTGTGACTGAAAAGCTAAAACACTTCCCCAGGGCCTGTATGATCTGTGCCTCACTATGCTGCCTCTGACATTTGGAGAGTGTCATTTAGCCCCAAATTAAAACCTGCTTATACAGAGATCTGGAGGATGTCTCAGGCTCCAAGTAGTCATCACTGTCTCATTTACCTATCACCTTTCAGTTTACAACTCCCCTTTACATACATGCCCTCATTTGTTCTCTAAAAACAGCACTGTTTGATGGGACCTATAGATCATTATAAAATTTCCCTCAAATGAATTCAAAAATAACCCTCTCAAACTGCCTGCAAAGAAATAATCACCTTTTGTTTGCCATTTAACAGTTCAGAAAGGCTTTTCACTTCTTTTGGTTTTTGGGGGTGAGGTATGACCTGCTGGGTTCTATAATAGAGGAAGAGGGAAGAAGGAATCAAATCTAATCTTGGCCTTAGCCTGCTGATCCAATTGGAACAAATCACTTCAATTGACCAAGCCTCAGTTCACTAAGCTACCAAATGGAGAAAATTATACCCATCCTACTGCACTACAGGGCAGTTAAGATCAAAATCAATATATAGATAAGTATGTCAAGTGGCTTTATAGGCTAAAAAATGCTAGTCTACAAACCTCATCAACCCTGGACAGTAAGGAAGAATAGGGGAATTTCACATGGTAATGCAAAACTACAAACCTAAACCAAACTGCAAGTCAGTGGGGGAGGTGACCAGAAACTCAGCTTAGGGGACAGGAGCAATTGGTTCATAGAGAAACAACCCATCTCTGCAGAACCAGTGACAAGCCACTTGATCTTACCTGACTAGACCGGTCCTCGAGGCTCTTCTTTCTCTTCCTGGACAAAGGGGGCTAGACCACAGATAGTGGCTAGGAGAGGTGTGATTGGCTAGATAAAACCAGGCAAGGCAGCGCCCTGTGCTGTGACCCCACTCAGTCTGAGTCTCACTTCACCAAGTAGGCTGAGAGTTACATTCTCACCCTCAAATAGTCAAATGAAAGAACTGAGGATGTTTACAGGGTGGAACTCAACCTGTCAGAGGCAGACAATTGGGTTTGTGGGTGGGGCCTTTCTTGTTCTACAATGACACACCTTTACCTCCTGTCGTCTTCCTCAAGAAGTCCTGCATTTTTCTGCCAACTCCCTCTAATACACATCCAGCCAAGGGAGCAGGAGCAGGAGCAGGAGCAGCCTACCATCCATTCCTCGATGGCTTCTGTATGCCTCCAAGTAGCTATCATAAAGCTTCAGCCTGAGGCCTACACTCCTATCATTAATATTCTTTATGATGGCTTGATGTATTGGATATTTGTGATTTTCAGCATCACTACCACTCTTGTCAAAAATGTAGAAGACATGGAGAGCAGTCTATCTCTGAAAATAAACACATGTACACACAGAGTCTCTGGTCAGCATTCCTATTAGGAAATGTACCACATGATATTGTCTCTATGTAAGTGTGTATCCTCCTCCGTAGACGGGGAGCCCCTTGAGGGCAGTGCTACATCTTATTCTCTCATATACTCCTCACAATACCCAGCAGACAGTAAGTAAGAAATAGACACACATTGAATTAATGATGATCTATTAATTTCTATTTAGTGAATCCTGATCTGTCATTTAATGGCTTTGCAGCCTGTGACAAGTCAGAATTTATCTTTCTGAGGCTTTTTAATTTTGGTTATCTGTAAGTTGAGAGTATCATTTCTCCTTCAGAAATGCAGATAGAATTTGAAAGGAAGCATATGAGAATAAACCTAGGATAAGATTTGACATAGCAACGGTGCTAAAAAAAATGAAATAGAATCTTAATGAACACATTCTGAAACCTAAGCAAGTGTGTTCTACATACAGAGTTGGTATAAAATAAAGTATGAACTGCACAAGTAGGTGGATTGCTGGAAGAAAGGAGAGCACAGAAAACAAAATGCTGTATGTGTATCATTGAATTTCAATTTTCTATCCTAAATTCTCTACTTCATTCAGCAGACTCTGGCCAAATCAGATTGTATCTGTTTGACGGCTGGAGGAACGGAGGTGCACTGACAAACTAGACTGGTTGAATTCCATTCTTTTAAAAGAAAAATAACTCATATTCACCCTTCAAAAAATGTTGTTCAAAGTTCCAGGAATAGTGAGGTCATGAAAAGATTCCACAGGAAATGAAGTGCAAACTGGCAACTTACCACTCAAGAGAGGTCACAGTGACCAAACTCACCCCCCAGAAGAGGTCACAATGAATAAACAGTCCTTTTACCTGCTTCCACCATGTCGGGGACATCATGTATACTAACTCAACAGTAGTTAACTGAGCAACTACCTTGGGCTTTCTCAGTTATCCACGTAGACAGGGATATGAAAATGAACCAAACACAGTCTCTGACATAAGGAGTTCAGGAAGATAAAATGTGAAAGTGAATTAGCATTGCACAGTACAGAAGATGATGAGCACCACAGACAAGATCATAACAGGCACTATGGCCATCCAGAGGAGGGAGCAACTCCAGGAAGGCTGCACAGCGGAGGAGGCAGCGTTAGATCCGGGCTGTTAAGAAGAGCTAGGATTTCAACAAGCACAGATGGCAGAGTTGGTTATAAATGTTATTGGTGAGATGGACTCAGCCACAGTTACCTGATCAAACTGATTTATGTCCCCTCCCTAATGCAGACCCCAGGCTGAAAAGAGAGTTTTACAGAACTGGTATCTAGGTCACATCACTTAGATGCCGCAAAACTACAGGGCAATTAGAAATAATTGCGAGGCAAATACTGTTCCCACTCAGCTCCAAATGTCTTTATGATGGCTCAGGGTGGGGGCACAAAAGGCGGGAGGAGTGGAGACATGCTGGATCCCAGCCTGGTCTCTTAAGAGAAAGACTAAGCAATGCACTGCTGTTTGAAGTATGCGATTTTAAAGGGCAAGAAACTCTGTGAAAAGACATCAGTTGTTCACATGGCATCCATCTGATAATCGTCAGGTTTCCAGTGGCCACTGAACACTCCTCCCAGCTCATGCTGAGCTCCACCGTACTGCAGCCTGCAGTAACTGGGGCAGGAAACATAATACATCCAGGAGGGGCACAAGCAGTAGGAGTAATGCCACACGGAGAACCTCAGCTCCGGTCCCTGTTCAGCTGCTCACTGGGATCAGAGACGAGTAGCTGAGTTTTCCCCAAGCCTTGGTTGCCTCTTCTGTGCAATGGGAATTAGACTACAGATCCCACCAACCTCCCTGGGCTGTTGAGGTTGATGAGCTCCTGGAGGTGATAAGAGCTTCGTAAAATTCTAAGTATTGGTATGAATCTGAAGCAATACTATTACAGAACATATGGCTATATGTAAGAATTCATTTCATGTCTATATTTCCAGGCATAGCAAAGGCTATGTACAGATCTCCCAGTGGACAACATGCTCAACAGCCAAGGAGCAGGGAAGCACAGAATAATTTTACCAGATTGGCCCTCAGAGATCATTTCTCTCTGTGTCCGGTCTCTTCTCTCTCTTCTATAATAGCCTTTACAGGCCGGGCCTGGTGACCCACGCCTGTAATCCCAGCACTTTGGGAGTTTGAGGCGAGCAGAACATCTGAGGTCAGGAGTTCAAGACCAGCCTGGCCAACATGGTGAAACCTGTCTCTACTGAAAATCCCAAAATTAGCCGGGCGCACTGGTGGGCACCTGTAATCCCAGCTACATGGGAGGCTGAGGCAGGAGAATCGCTTGGACCTAGGAGGTGGAGATTGCAGTGAGCCAAGATTGCTCCACTGCACTCCAGCCTGGGCAACAGAGTGAGACTCCATCTCAAATAAAATAGCTTTTACAAATTATTCTTCTTCCTCTTCTCATTGAGCTCTACTGTCTATGAGAAATAATGTATGTTGTTACTTATTTAGGTTAGGAAACACTGGTACGTTAGAATCCCTCTTCTGCCATTTTTCAGATGGGGATGGATGACCACACAAGCCAGCCTCCTCCTGAACTCGGCAGGGCTGTTCTCTTACACACTGCCTGGGGCAGCAGATGGGCAGGAGGAAGTACAGGTGGCGTGGATCCTGGTCAGGTATGAACCAGAATCACCTCATGTCCAGGTCTCCCTCACAGTAGATCATGCAGATAAAAACTGGTACATAAACATGCATCACTGGGAGTAAATAGGTAGTGTCTACAAGAATCCCATATCTCAACTGCCCAGATAAACCCCTTGTCCCAGGAGTCTTTTGGGAAAGAGGAGTTCAATGACAATGAACAGATACTGGCAGCAGTTTTTGAAGTGAACAGGCACTAAGCAGTATGAATTTCCCCTTCTCTTGAGTTCCAGTAGTACACAGCACACGTCACTAGTACTGCCCTCTTACAGTTTTCTTCCCCGATACGCATCTGTCTACCCTCTTTAAAGATAAGGGCCATGTCCTAAACAAGCCATTCTTTTTAGGACCTAGTACACTACAATGCCAATAGTAGGTACTCAAGTGATACCTACTTTGATGGATGGGTGGATGAGTCAATGAATGAATGTATAAACTACTCTGTTTTCCTTCACAGCCCTACGAGGCCTCGCAGCTAGAGAGGTGACATTTCAGAGAGGGAGAAACAAAAAGCCCCTTCTGCTTTTGACAAGGGACTAAATTCAGCCCAAAGCATCTTTTTTTTCTCTCTCTATTTACTCCGGACAATCTGTCCCTTATCAGATGAGCTCAAGGCTGGTTGGAAATATGCATATTTTATTTGAAAATATCTGCTTCCTCCAGTTTTGTTTTGCCACATAGACATTTGTCTGCTTTGCTGTATGTTGTGTATCAGATAGGACTCAGACAAACTGCTTTGGCTTCCGAAACTGTTTTGTTTTCTCCATTCATTTATCATTGATCTCATTTCCTTCCCTGCATCTCACTCTTATTTCCAAGTTCCAATTTTATCCGCAATGAAAGAGAACAATTTCATTGTTGCACAGGTTCACTGAGGGCTAAAAAGGGCACTGGCATGGAAGTTAGAAAGCCTAGGATCTAGTTCCCATTCTGCCACTAACAAGCAATGTGACCTTCAGAGGATCGCCTCTTCTAGCTTGGCCTCTATTTCTCCTTTGCAAAATAAAGTCTGCTTTTGACAGCCACAGAATCTAAGTGCAATACTTTGAGACTCTCTGGATACCAATCTGCTAACATTGCACCATTTTTCACATTCGTTACAGATGGGGAAGAATTCTCGTACGTTTTTGGCTTTGGTTTGAGACCCAGCGAGGGTCCTCCACTCCAGATCCTCACCTGACTTTCTGATCCACCCCCGCCGAGAATGGCTTCATGGGCATGCAACCCGTGCAGTTACACAGGCCTGCAGGTAGACAGGCCTTGTGCTTGCTTTTGTTCTGCTGTTGTCATGTTGAAATTCTTAATAGTTCTTGAACAAGGAGCCTGGATTTTCACTTTGCACATGGCCTCACAAACCAGTCCTGCCCCTACTCTTATGCTTGCACTCCCCCAAAGTAAGAGAGAACTAAGAAAGAACCAGGAAAAGGAAAACAAGGGTGTACTTTGCCAGCCATTCATGGCAGGGAGAAGGACTCCCCACAAGGCAGAGCTTCACTTTGAAACTCCCTTCCTTACAAATACAAAGCAAAGCAAAGACAAGGCGGGAGAAGGTGAAACTTGCCACAGTCTCCACCCCATCACCCTTCCCCGTCTTGCTGGCCGGGAGGTCTGACTCATGCCTGGGGTGTGGCTCACCATTCCTGCTAAGCACCTGGGCTCCTCCCGGTTCACAGGGCTCAGGAGGAAGTGTGGGTTACCCTGGAGTGGATGGGGAAACCATCCAGTCACCTCTCAATGTCACAGCGCTAGATAGAATCTCAGAGCAGACTCAGGCAACCATCACAGCCCACCTTTGTTAGAGAAAACACCGCGTCTGATTGGAGATGGACTGATGCCAGTTCACACCGTGAGCAGCTCCCACCTCTTCTTGGCA